CCATCATATGTACAGCAGCAGCGGGGAGCCAGAGGGACGGGTCGCCGTCCACCACTGCGGTGTTGGACCTGTAACCAGGTAGGCCACATCGCCCGGCTCTGCCCAAACGGGCACGGCGACGGCGCTACATCAGCGCCACGGGCTCCGCCGTCGCCAGCTGCCGCAGTGACCCAAGAGCCCCCATCATCGACATCAATGTAAATGGGCGCAAGTGCCGAGCACTCGTCGACACAGGGTGCAGCGAGACAGTGGTGTGGAAGGGCGTGGTGTCCTGCTGGGAGCGGAGTGACGCCAGCTTGGTCGCTGTCAACGACAGCCCGGTGCTGTGCTGTGGGCGGGCTGTGGTCAGCCTTGGAGTGCGCGGGGCGACAGTGAGTGTGCGGGCGGTCGTCGTACCGGCCCGGTTGCTGGGCGTAGACGTGTTGCTGGGCATGACCGGCATTGACGCCCTGCAGGGCGTGAGTGTAAGTGGAGGATCCGTTCGCTTCGGGAGCGTCAACCCAGTTGCGAGCGTCGACACGGCTGCTGTGGTGCAGCGTGAGGCCCCGCCGGAGCGGGAGGTGTGTCGAGCGGTCGACACGGCTGCTGTGGTGCAGCGTGAGGCCCCGCCGGAGCGGGAGGTGTGTCGAGCGGTTGACACGGCTGCTGTGGTGCAGCGTGAGGTCCCGCCGGAGCGGGAGGTGTGTCGAGCGGTCGACACGGCTACTGTGGTGCAGCGTGAGGCCCCGTCGGAGCGGGAGGTGTGTCGTGCGGTCGACACGGCTGCTGTGGTGCAGCGTGAGGTCCCGCCGGAGCGGGAGGTGTGTCGAGCGGTCGACACGGAGCCGGAGCTAAGGATTGACGAGACTGACTTCACGGCTGTGTTCGATGATGTGTGGACAGTCCGTTGGAAATGGGCCGGTGGCGTGGCTCCGCCCCCGCTTGGAAACTCGATAGCTCAGTACGGTGTGCCGAGTTGTGCGCGTGAAAAATTCGATGCAGAGCTGGCGCTGTGGATTAGTGAGGGCTGGCTGCGCGAATACGATGAGACGATGTACGGTCCCGCACAGGGATTGATCCCGTTGATGGTGGTTACTCAGGCAGCGAAGGACAAGGTGCGGCCGGTGTTAGATTATCGGGAACTCAATCAACACCTGACACGTCACACAGCCGACGCTGACGTCTGCGTGGAAGAGCTGCGAAGGTGGCGACGTCACGGACGCCGGGTCGCTGTCCTGGATCTGAAGAAAGCTTTTCTTCAGCTTCGTGTGGACCCGGCCCTGTGGCCGTACCAGACAGTCATCGTGCAAGGGCGGCGGTACTGCCTGACCAGGGTCGGCTTTGGGCTCAGTATCGCGCCTCTGATCATGAAGGCTGTGGTCAGGAAGGTGCTCGCACAGAGCCCCGGGTTGGCAGAGGCAGTGCTGCCTTACGCCGATGATCTGCTGGTCAACGAAGCGGTGGTCTCGGCTGATGAGGTTGCCGAGCACTTCGCTCGATTCGGGCTCACATGCAAGCCGCCGGAGCGGGTCGCGACCGGTGCACGTATGCTGGGCCTTCGTGTCGCCGAGAGCGACGGGCCGGCACTCCAGTGGAGTAGGGACGGGGAGTCACCAACGCAGGCTCCACCCGTGCTAACGCGGCGATCTGTCTTCGCGTGGGCCGGCCAGCTGACATCTCATGTGCCGGTCGCAGGCTGGCTGCGGCCGGCCGCTGCATGGATGAAGCGGACTGCCAACCGCCTCAGCCCGGACTGGGACACTCCGATCGTCAGCGAGGAACTACAACGTGAGGTGGATGAGGTGTCACGGCGGTTTCGAGCATGTGACCCGGCACGCGGCCAGTGGTGTGTGACAGGGACGAGCGTCGTGGTGTGGACCGACGCCAGCTCCATCGCCCGCGGTGTCGTGCTCACTGACCCTGACACGGGCGCCATCATCGAGGATGCGTCCTGGCTGCGTGCCGAATCGGAGAGGGACGTGCACATCAATATCTCAGAACTGGATGCCGCTCTCAACGGTGTCAACCTGGCGGTAGCATGGGGCTTCCGTCGCCTGACGCTCCGGACAGACTCGGTGACGGTGCACCGCTGGCTGAGTGACGCGCTGTCGGGTAAGGCAAGGCTGCGAACCAAGGCGCAGTCCGAAATGCTTATCCGACGGCGCGTGGCTGTTTTCCGTCAGCTCGTCATCGAGTACGAACTGGAGGTCACTATCGAGCTGGTCGCGTCAGCGGTCAACCGTGCTGATGAGGTGACGCGGGTGCCCAACGCCTGGCTGCAGACTGCCGACCAGCCAACCACTGATTCGTCCAAAGCACAACCGGTGGCTGTCGCTGCCATCACAAGTGCCTCAGCGAGTGACATCCGCACCATCCACGAAAACATCGGTCACCAAGGAGTGAGGAGAACGTTGTGGTACGCCCGACGTGAGCTGGGGGTGAGGCGGGTGTCAAAACCAGCTGTGCGAGACGTGGTCAGACGATGCCAGACGTGTGCCTCGATTGACCCGGCGCCGGAGCGCTGGCCCGGTGGGTCACTCGGAACAGAACGCACGTGGGATCGCCTGGCCATGGATGTCACCCACGTGCACGGCCACCCATACCTGACGCTGGTGGACTGCGGGCCGTCGAGGTACGCCATATGGCGACGGCTTCGCCGGGCAGGAGCTCTGGAGATTGTGAGTGAGCTGGAGAACGTGTTTCTAGAGCGTGGAGCCCCGGCGGAAATACTCACGGACAATGCGACAGAGTTCCGTGGCCGGGTCATGTTAGCGTTCGCGGCTCGCTGGGACGTATCCATCCGGTTCCGCGCTGCCTACGAGCCCGGCGGGAACGGCATCGTCGAGCGCCATCATCGTACCATCAAAGTGATGGTGGCCCGGCAGTCCTGCTCCGTTGCTGAAGCAGTCCATCGATACAACGTGACACCGAAGGATGGCAGTGACCCGGCCACAGCTCCAATCAACGGGGTGCTTCGACACCCTGGCCGAGACGTTGACGTGACGCCCCGCAGAACCTCAGACGAGCCTGGTGACGCCCTGCCGCTGAAGAAACCCGGTGTATACCAGGTAGGGGACAAGGTGTGGGTTCGGCGGCGGGGCGACCGATGTTTTGTAAAGTCAGACGAGGGTATTGTGACAGGCGTCGTTTCGGCCCAGACAATCGAAGTCGATAATGTCCCACGACATGTGCGAAACCTCCGACATCGGTTGACCGTCCCTGAATGTCCGAGGCCAGGGGCTCTGCGAGCGCCAACGGTGGAGTGGTCTGATGACAGCGAGTGTGATGGCGTGTGTGTGTCGCCAGCTCCGAGTGATGTGACGGAGTCGGACACGCGGCCGCCCAGCGTCGCTCAGTCCCCGGACCCCGATCCACCGACCGGGTCCGATGTGTCCGCAGACGAGAGTGAAACGTTCGTGCCTGCGACGCTGCGGCGTGGTACGCGTGTTCGAAGAGAGCCGGAAAGATATGGCGATGGTGTGCCAGAGGATGTAGTTGATGCGTTGATTGAATGACATGTAACATGTAGAGTAATGTGGTTCTTCAGAACCAGGGGGTGATGTAGCGTGACGCAAGGATGAATGTGAGCCGTATAAGTGTGAGTCAGCTTCAGCGTCGAGCTGTGAACCGGTGACCCAGCGTTGGTCATAGCCGCCGGCATCTGATGCCGGCAGGGCCGAGTTACACCCTGCAAGTAGCTGGGCCGGGCATGACGTATGGGAGCATGATTGGCTGGTTATGATGTGAGATATATGACGTATGACAGCGCGATTGGTTGGTGATGATGTGAGATGTGTGTCTGCGAGCTGTGGATGTGCCAGGAGGGGGATTGTGAGTTTAGTTGGCTGGAAGGTGTAGAGGAGAGCAGAATAGATCTTCTTCTTGTGCTGGACGGTGACTTTTAAGTCAGTACGACACAAACCCTTGAGACAACCGTCTGACAGACACAAGATGCTCGATTCAGTCTCACAGGCTCAGGCTTGTCCACGGTCTAGCTGTACTGCCTATGCCTGGTCTAGCCGGACATAGTATGGAAGGAGGATAATAGCGGTGGATACCGGCGGACAGGTAATGTCCCGGTGTGAGACGAGCAGCGAGCTCCACCGAACAGCGCAGCGGGCATTACCTAAGGCCGCGTCACACTGCACGATCATCCCCCGACCAGTTATGGTATCAGCTCAGAGCCAATGCGAAAAACAACGAGCTGGGAGATCGCTGGGCGCCGCGCAGCAATAAGCAGATTGGGTGAAAGCAGGTGGATGCGAACACACTCCTGGTCGGGACGACAGTAGTAGAGAAATGCTACCAAACAAATTTAGAAAGCCACTGACACGCTTACATATCTCCCTAATGATGCCAGAAACCATCTGGGATCAGGGCTAACACGGGGAATGGGACGGTCTGGGCTGCCAGCAGACCCTCCCGATTCCCGACCGAAGCATTCCTGAGAGGCCGGTGGTTCAACAAAGAACCATCTGCTCGGGAGAGGGATGGCTAACACGAGCCGACACTGACGAACCCCAGTCGAAGTGTGGGTTATACTCCGACGGAGCTGAGCTATCTGAGTCACTTAGTAGATACCTGGAAACTGGCAATGGGCGTAGACGCGAGACACAATAACAATAGCTGCAATCAGCCCGAGCGACACAAGCAAGGGCATTATTTCACAGACTGAAAGCAGCCTACAGAGATAACCAAAGACAGGGGAGCACCCACCAGGTTTCGGGACACATTCCGAAGGGCAGGCAGCTGAGATAACGAAACGAGAGGGAGAAGCGGACACGGGACACAACACACAGACATGCACGAGAGGGGACGAACAGCCCAGGGGAGAGGCGAGAAACAAAGCGTGTGTGTGTGTGTGTGCACGTTAGGGAGAGTACGAATCAGAGGTGAGAAGAGAGAGAGAAAGAGAGAGAGAGAGAGAGAGAGAGAGAGAGAGAGAGAGAGAGAGAGAGAGAGAGAGAGAGAGAGAGAGAGAGAGAGAGAGAGAGAGAGAGTAGGAGCGTAGCATCACTCACCATCAGTCCGCTCTCGACGGAAGGCAGCAGGATGAGCTGACAGCCGTGCACCACCTGGTTAGCCTCCAGGGTGCCATCACGTAGCGGCCTGAGACGCAGAGAAAGGGGACGGTCAGTTAGGGAGTGATGTTGGGGGGGGGGGGGCGATGGGTGCCTACAATAAGGGTCACAAAAGGCATAGATAGATCAACGGTAGAACGACTCAAACATATCAAGGTACAAACAATACAAGCATACAAATAAAAAAACATAAACATAGACAATAGACATGTCTCAAAGAGAAACTGACACAAGTCAAGGATCAGGGTCGGGCGGGCGGGTAAGTTTAGCCTGCAGTGGGGTCGTGTGAGAATCAGACAGACAAAGTCATGGCTGTGTCTCTGCCGGCCGACACATGCACTCTGCACTCTGCAGGGGAAATGGGAGCCGGCGATCCATCACTCAGCAGTCGGCCGGTCCGGACCGGACCCGATAAACACGGCAGTCTGCAAACAGCCGACACATGTACCGGGTGACTGCCAACGACCGTGGTGTAAAGCATAGGACAGCCATGGTAAACCGGCTCAATGCTCATTTCATGCTCATCATGACCCGTGGTGAGCCTGCTGGCTGTCCTGCTGGCAAACGATCATAAATTGCCGCTTGTTACAACCATTTTAATGTAAATAGGGATAAAGACAGGGGATAAAGACACCTTTTGCGAGGGCTATGGAAAAATCCATATGCCGTCCTCACAACGTACGATACAAATATGTCTTCTCTACTTGCGAATACCGTGGCCATTCTAGCGACTGCATCTGAGGTGACCATGGCAGTCAGCCGAGGCGGCCAGCCGTCCCAGGCGCCCCGCCGTGGCTGCCGGCACGATCGGTGCCGTGTTGGCGCGGATTATATGGGAGGAGGCGCAGGCCGTGAGCGCCATAGGCCGGCGCGTCTCGAAGGTCACTCGGCCTCTGCAGCAGCTGCCCTCCACTGCAGTCAGCTGCAGGCCGACCGGCCGGGCCCGTCACGGCGACTCCCAGGAGCGCGGCATGAGCCGGTACGCCCCCGGAGCTGTGGACAGAGGTGGGGCGCACCTGCCGGTCCAGGGCCGCCCCGACGGCCAGCCGGCCGCCCCGGGCGCACCCGTGCTTCCTCAGACTGCCCTTCAATCAGTCGGGACGGCCGCCAGCTGCCGTGCAGATTCTCCGAGAAACCGTGACGATACGGGCTGTCCGCCTTGGGAGACGGGCGATTCACAATGGCGGACAAGCTGACCTGCCAAGGAGGAGCTCTACGAGCAGGAGCTAGGTAAGAAGGAGGTATATGAGCTACACTGAACAGTGAGACAAGCAGTGAATGTTAAATTGCTGATGTCCCCAAGTTGGAATGCTGAAACAGCGGCCACCCATCGGGACGAGCGAGTCGACCGGCTTATGTCACAGCGGCTTATGTGAGGCTATTCGCTAAGCCAGCAGGATGGGCAGAGGCGGCTCCAGCGGATCAGAGAGAGGGGGACGGAGGCAGTGGCGGAGCGAGGTCCCCTGCCGGCGGGGCTCAGAAGGGCCACGTGAGCAGCCGCCAAGGCCAGCAGAGGCCGGCTGCCTGTGGATTAGACAGCCTTGTCTGGGGAGCAGCCGCCGGCCGCCGGGCGCTAAACAAAGGCCGGAAACCCGCCTGCCGCCGCCGCTGCTGAGCCGCGGAGCAGGTGAGCGCCGTGTCGCGTATCATACCGCGCTGTCCGCTGGTGACCTGTCACGGCTACTGAACCCGACCCGCCGTCACGCCTCGGCTCGAACCCGCCTCCCCCATCGCGTCGGACGACCGGGGATTCGAGGGAGCAACCGAGACAATACACTCACAGCCATCCGGTGTCGTAAGTTATACAAGAAAATTTGGGGCATCGCTGGCATGTGACAGGCCACGGTCCGGTCTGTGATAACTGCCCGAGAGTCATCTGCGCTGACGGAGCCATACCCCGGCTCAGTGAGCGGGAGAGGCACCGAGACAGCTGCCACGGCTGGCGCGGCTCGCATTCCTTGCTCTTTTCCTGTCTGGCCCTCCCCGAGGACGCCAGGCGGAGCCAATCAGAGTCAATCACCGACAAAGGGATGACGACAGGGCCCGGTTACCAGTCGCAGCTGCCCGAGAATCAGCTGCGGCTCCAGATGGCTGCACGTCATGTCGAATACAACCATTCTTGCAATGCACACGTGCCTACGAAATCCAGCATGTCCTCACAAGGATCCGGCATATTTTTAGTAGGTATATCCCTCACCACGAACACCGATAACGACGGCGTTTCTGTCAGCAACGTGTCACCAATTTCTGTCTGGCTCCGTCCGCTGCCAAAGATCATCACGTGAGTTGTTGGCACGGCTCTCCCGCTCCCCAGCTGACCAGAGAGCCGCGGGTGCCGCGCCGGTGCGACTACTCTGTCACCCGGCGGGCGGCGGGCGGGCGGCGCAACCTTGGCCCGCTGGCAGCGCGCGTGTGACCCGCTCCCCGGTCCCGTTGGTGACCGGCGAGCCGCGTTGGCGGCCCGGCCGACCCGTTAGCGCCGCCACCGCCGGCCGCGCGCTGCGGTCGGTTTATCGGTGACGCCCGCTGGCCCGTCCGGCCGGCCGTTCGTCCGGTCCGGTTCAGTCTCGTAAACTGCGCCCAGCTAGCTGCACTAATGCACGGACAGGACGGGCCGGGCCGAGTCGGGTAACCAGTGACCAGGCGCGCGGCTTTGGAATGTCCAGCAGTAGACTCGACCACGCTTCTAACCCTGCATTGACCGTTAACGCAGCATTAGCGTCAGATGAATTCTGACATCCCTTGCAGTGGCGGAGCAATGACAAGTTATGACCCTGTCCACCCCGCAGGGATGTTTCGTCAGAGGTGGTCCACCGAAGGAGACCAGACGTGGACGGGAACCTCCCGAGGTCGGGTCGTCCATCCTAAGGGAGATCAAAGACCGTCGGCACGTCAGGCTCGACTCCATTTGTGGAGAGTCGAGCCCGTCGTTTACGACATAAAAGGACAGCTATAAAACATCAGCAGCACGACACAGCGACGATAACATCCATCAGTAACCTTGCAGCTGGTGTCATCTCACCAATAAATATCCCTCACACACACACTGATACACTCATACTGTGACTTCACCCGTGGATCCTCTGTGAAGTCCCCAACAAACCCTGCCCCGCCAGGTCTCTCGGCTGCTGCGCACACGGAACAGACCCCGTAGTCTTCCCCCGACCATCGCAGCGCCGACCGGGCACTCTGGTTGTTTTCCGGCAGTCCGGCCGGAGTGACACATCGCATGTTGGCTGCGCTTGCAGGCCGGTATGGCGGCCGCGGACGGGCGGACGGGCGGGCGGCGGGCGGCGGGCGGGCAGAGGCGCCGATTACCTCGCGCCGGCCGGTGGCGGCGGGCGGCCCGGCTCCCGCTGATGGACTGTAATGGAATGCCACCGTCCCGACTTCCGGTGTCCCTGGGCGGCGCTGACGGCGGCCGGCCGGGGACCGGCACAGGGGCACGAGGCGGAGCCGAGATTGGGCGGCAGGTGATAGTGATGTCAATTTCAGAAATTTTGGAAACCAATACCAAACCGATACCGACCAAAACCACTGAGAGTATACCAAAACCGAACCGATTTTCAGAAATAGGGGGAAATACCGACTAGATACCGAAATCAGGGTATTATCAAACAAATGCTTCAAACTTTCTCAAGACATAGGTATGATAAGCCTTGAAAGGTACCTAATACTTTGAAATAAGGTTACAAAAACAAATCAGGCAATCTCTTGATTATTTGCATTGCAAAAAATACATTTATAACTTATTTTGTAACTATTAACAAATATTCAGGTCAGTTATTTTACTGGAATGTGGATTCAAGTCAACTGCATGAGGTGTTAGGAAAATAACTTGAACCCTGAATCTTGTCCATGCCTGAACCATCAAACCTTCTTTCAATTCAAGTCATTCATTTCGAGTCCGGTCAAGACAGGGTTAAGTGTGTTATCATGATCCAAAAGTGGTGACCCAATTGACAATGATGGGCTACACCTTGTGCTACACCATTAATGTAAACAAAGCCCATGATACCTACAGTTCAGCCCAAGTAGCATGGTGATTGGTGACGATACTGACGCAGCCAATTTTTCTTCATCCACAAATGTGTAACACAACAAAACTTGATAAATAATTACTTACGAGGCACACTGATAGATAGCAGACACCACTGTAATGATATCGCGATGAAATCTTAGTAATATGTCCATAATTTTACGGAGGAATTGACACACGTCACGTGTCATCTATATTACTATTTGAGGAGGGTGCGTCTGTCCGTTACCGAGGTCCCGACTTGGTGGTGCTTTGCGTGGACTACAGGCCAGACCGTTGCACCTAGCGCCCTGAAATTTGCACAACTTATAGATCAAGGATGTGCGACGTGCCTTTGAGGGGTCTGGGCTCGATCAGATTGGTAGGGAGCGCGTGGCGTGTGCTCAAAAAGTGCAAATTCGCGTCATAGACTTTGCATGTATAAATCGGCTTGCAAAATCGGGCGAAAATGGCTAAATTTGCCCGACACGGGTCCGATCCCCGTGCAATATCTCGGTAAGTGTGGGCCCGATCGGTACGGGGAAAACAGCATCGTGTAGAGAATCGAACGGGCTATTGAATGGTGTGCGGTGCAGGGGATGGCACGCGCCACGTGCACCCGTGAGGAGACTTTTATTGGAAAAATTGCGGTTTTTGACGGATTTTGGAATTAATTTTATTTTTAGGTGACCGTTAAATGGAGCGAGTGGAAACAACGCCTATTTGCAAGAGAAATGTACCGCCTCTCATATAAAAATTGTGAAAAGCTGATTGATCCAAATCAAGGTGGTGCAAATCACTGGAGAAAATGGTGTTTGTCAATGATGTGCCACTTTATTAATTACACGGGTTTTGCTGCATAACCTGATACCTTTGGCAATTGAATATGGTACCATTGGATAGAGCATTCAATTCTGTCCAATATTCACTCTTCATTTTTGCATGATGAGCAACAGTATTCTTAAAAATGTAAATGTTCCAAACCATTACATTGTCATTTTTAGCGAAAT